GGGGGCTGGGGGTTATTGAGGGGGTAGAGGGGAGTCACTGTGAGGGGGTGCTGGGAGTCAGTAAGAGGCGGCTGGAAGAGAGGAAGGGAAACAGTGGGGGTGGGAATCTGAAGGGGTTAGTGAGGAAGTCGGGGATCGGTGAGGAGGAGGCAATCAGTGAGGGGGAAGGGGATCGATGAGGGGAGGATTTAGAACAGAAGAGGGGATAGGTAGAGGGTTTAGAGACAGAGAGGGGTCTCAGTGAGGGGGAATTGGTGAGAGGGCCATCTCATCAAGGGGCTGTAGATTGAGGGACTGGTAAAGCGTGAAAGGTCACAGGTGTGGGGAAGGAGCAGTGAGGGAGGAGGGTCCACGATTGAGAGGTCATTGAGATCACGCATTCTGACTGATGGGGAGGAGTTAGAGAGGAGGGACACTGGAGAAGCAAGGATCCAGTCAGAGGCAGGGCGAGTGAGGGGATGGTCTAGTCAGGAGGGAGGGCCAGTTGAGGAAGGGCAAGCAAGGTGATAGGAGTGGAGGGTGGGCAGGCTGCAGTCATGTCGTTGCTCCTGCCCTTTGACAGCCTGGTCTGTACCCTGCTGGGCATCTCGCTGACGGTCTGGATCACTCTCCTACTGGTCTTCATCATTGTTCCCGCTATTTTTGGCGTGTCCTTTGGCATCCGTAAGCTCTACATGAAAACCCTGCTGATAATCTTCGAGGTAGGTCAGGCTGGCATGGATCATGTTCCACCTGATGTAGAGGGACCGGAACTTTTGATCTGGTAATGCGATACAAAATTCCCTGCATGATTGTCTAACCTGTTCCTGGGGAGTTATTCCACTGTTTTCATGGCTGTCCTTCATCTCTTTATTTCAATGAGCGCTTAAAATAGCTTTGAGACTCCCTGTATCAGGGTGGGCAAGATCTAATTGTAGTTGGTGTCATGGGGCTGACGAGATGACCAGTGGTTTTTGGCCTGCCTGTCATTTCTGTAATGGGGGTGTACAGGCTCCAGACCAGAGGCAGCCACCCAAAGCCTTTGATAAGAGACGAGAAGTTCTCAAGAGTTTTGAGAAACTTCAGTTCTGTCAAGTTGGTGAATCTGGGCATGTTCTCCTTGGAGCAGAGAGCTTTAAGACGATAATTGGTAAAATTGTGAACTGATCAGCCATGATCTTATTAAATGGCAGGGCAGGCTCGAGGGGCCAGATGGCCTACTCCTGCTCCTAGTTCTTATGTTCTTATGTTTTCATGCAGTTGGTGCCTTGATGTTCTGTGATCTTAGCCTCTTGGTTTCCCTGAATGTGTCAATGTTGGACTTAAAATGAAGAATTGATCAAGTCTTGCTTGTCTGTGAAAGAGGACTACCCTTTGTCTGTAGATGCGTATCCTGATTTCACTCTGGAAAGATCAGATACTTATCATTAGACTGTGTCCCGTGGTCTGACACTGTGCATCCTGAAGAAATTGTTTCCCTCTATCCACCTTATCTGTTCCCCTTAATATCTTCAAGATTTTAATCAAAATAGTCCTGAACTTTTAGAATTCCAGCCACTGCAACCCAAGTTTGTGGATTTTCTTTTCAGAAAATCTACAGTGCAGTCCCCCTCCCAGCCAATAATAATGTTTCCTTCCTTATGTGCGGTATGAAACCGCTACAGGGAGTCCAAGTGTGGTCTAACCATGCTTTTGGCTTAACTTCTAAACCCTTTGTATTTCTCATGATATCGGTGGAAAGATCAGCACTGCATTAGCCTTGGCAACTTTTTTTCTTGACCCGCAAGTCTGTCAGCTCTCTGCTGTTGCAATCTTTTCACATTTCAAAGCGGCCTGTCCTTTTGAGGTCTGCCTGATTTGGACCCAAAATTTGCTTGCATTGAAATCCAGTCACCTCGGTTTTGGGCAGGGACAGTGGTCAACTTGGATAGGAGGCTTTGTGTCCCATCATGTTTGGTACTGTTGAGGCCATTAAGATGTAGGGGCAGAAGGAAGCCATCAAGTCTGCTGTGCCATTCAATGGGATCTTACTGATCTGATCAACCACAACTCCACTTTCCTGCCTTTTTCCCCATAACCCTTGATTCCCCTTGCTGATTAATTTAAAAAAAAAATCTGTCTCTCTGAGCCTTGAACATGCTGAATGACCCGGCCTCAACAGCCTTGGAAGAAATTCCTCCTCACCCCTGATTTAAGTGTGTAACCTGTTACTCTGAGATTACGCCCTCTGGTTCTTTCTTAGGTGAAACAAACTTTGTTAGGGGACTTGATGGGGTAGATGCAGAATCTTGTATGTTTCAATGAGATCGCCTCTCATTCTTCTGAGCTCCAATGAGTACAGGCTCAATCTACAACCTACTGAACATCTCTCCAAAAGACAGTTCCTCCACACCTGGGATCGACCGAGTGAACCTTCTCTGGACTGTCCAATGTCAGTCTATCTTTGCTTAGGTACGGTACCCTGCTGTATTCTGATTAGTGTCTTGTATCGTTTTAGCAAGATTTCCCTCTTTTTTTTTTACAGTCCATTCCCTTTGAAATAAATCCGTTTGCCTTTCCAGTTAACTGATGGACTTGGATGCTAGCATTTGAGATTTCTGCACAAAGTGCTGCAGTTTTCTGCAGTCTTTCTCCCATTTTAATGAATATTCAGCTCCTCTAATCTTCCTGCCAAAGAGCATAACCTCACCTTTCCCCACATTGAATTTCGATCTGTCACGTTTTTGCCGACTCACTTAACCTATCCACGTCCCTCTGTAGGCTGTTTGTGCCAGCCTCAGGAGGCAGTTTCCAAATCGAGAGATTTGTAAAATTAGAGCCAGGACACCTGAAACATTGTCATCTCCTTCCTTTAAATTTTGGGATGGAAACTATCTGGTCCTGGAGGGTTTTGACATTGTTAAATGTGAATTATAGGGAGTTCTTGCCTCTGATCCAACATCAGTTCTCTTGGCAAGTCAGGGGCACAGTTCTTGTTTTGCACTGTTAATACTGGTGCAGTGTAATTCCTGGATTCAACATCTCTGCTATTTCCTGATTTCCATTGACACCCCGTGCTCAAGAGCCCACGTTGTCCTGACCCCATTCGTTCTCTGAACAGGACCAGTTTTATATGGTTTGGTATACCCCTTGTATGCATCTGTTCACACACTCTCCTTGCTGCTGTTTGTCTCTCTTGCCATCCTTTGCTGTTTTCTCTCTCTCTCTTTGCCACTTGTCAGGTACTGGGCTCATTCAACACTTGTTGCCTGCCTATCCCTTCAGTTTTAACCTTGGTCTTTTGCAGTTTGAGATGTGCATGGCTGATTCATTTCAGCCCATCAGGGTTGTGCTCACCCGGAATTGTAATTGATTTATCAAGAACACTTCCAACTGATTTATTGCCATTTTACCCATGAACACATTTGTCAAGGGACATTTGTCAAGGTTCTGAAGGGGCAGGACATGATTTCAACTTCCTTTTGAAACAGAATACAGCAGCTAAAACTGAATGCTGCAGTCTATAATCAGTGTGTTGTGTTGCATCTGCAGGCCTTTTATGAACCCTATGCTGTTTACAGCCCTCTAGGTTGAGCTTCCTACTTTGCAATACTGGTGTGTCCTAGCCCCTGTCTCTTTACTCCTCCTCTTAACTTAGGGCCACTTCGCCGTCTTGTAGACAGACTCAAGGAGCAAATCTGCTAAGAGACCCTTGGAGGTGCAGCATAATTGCAACTAATGTACAGTAGATTTGTGATTACAGTAACACGAAACAAGCTATAATCTAATCTAATCTCATTTCCAGTTTTTGTAAGAGCAAAGTGGCAATCTTTTAAGAATTATATATCTGAACTGAGACATTAGATTACAGCTTTGAACAAGCTCCCTTTATTTACTTGCGGTACATTACAGTACATACTGTCTCAGTTACACTGAGTTGGGGACAGTTATTACTTACATGACGTTAATGGCTGTTCTTGTGTCTGACATTCCCTCCTTGGCTTGTGAGGTTCTTGCGGTGTTTGGGATTAATTGGAAATTCTGTAACCCCGTGCTGGTGTGGCTTTGCATGATCACTAGGCCAGGATTTATGACATGTTCAACTTCACAAGCTTCTGCTCATTAAAATGAATGGGTGGAATTCCAGGACTGGTGAGTGCGGGTGGAGATGGTCCCGGGGCTTGTGAAAAATCTCCGACTGAATACCAACTTGGAGTAGTCCTTTGCCGTTTGAGGAGAGGCCAGAGATTGTTACAGGGAGGCCATCAGCTGTGCATTGAGTTAGTGATGGAAGCTTTGGGAATGTTGTCGTTGGAAAATGGGTTTGACAGGAAAAGGGAAACAAAGGAAATAGCACACATGGTTGCAGGGAGAACAAATGCCCAACGCTGACAAGTTGCGCCCAATCGCCTCTGTGCTCATTGTAATGTTCAGTAACTCGTGGCTTCTCGATGTTTGTGAATGTTACTCGAGGGCTGCTTCATTACTCTGTCTGATCTCCCTCCCTGTACAAGTATTATTTTTCAAATGTTCCATGGAGAGAGCCAGGAGGGAAGTGGGGTTTGTTGGCTTGTCTGAGCTGTCTTCCACCTTATGAAAACTCTTTCTAAAAAAAAAAGGACATTCACATTTGGAGTGTGCAGTTCTGGTTGCTGCACTACAGGAAAGATGTGGAGGCTTTGGACAGTGTGCAGAAGAAGTTTACCAGGATGCTGCCTGGATTGGAGTGCATTAGCTACAAGGAGAGGTTGGACAGACTTGGATTGTTTTCACTTAGGAGTTAGAGGCTGAGGGTTGACCTGAGAGAAGTAAATAAAATTGAGAGGCATAGAGTCACGGAGATGTATACCACGGAAACAGACCTTTCAGTCCATCTCGTCCATGCCGACCAGATATCCGAAGCTAATCTAGTCCTATTTGTCAGTATTTGGCCCATATCCCTCTAAACGATTACTATTCATGTACCCATCCAGATGCCTTTTAAATGGTGCAATTGTACCAGCCTCCACCACCACCTCTGGCAGCTTGTTCCATAAATGTAGTACCCTCTGTGAAAAAGTTGGCCCTTAGGTTCCTTTGAAATCTTTCTCCTTTCACATAAACCTATGCCCTTTGGTTTTGGACTTCTCTACCCTGGGGGTAAAAGACCTTGGTTGTCCACCCTTATGCATGTCCCTCATAATTTTATAAACCTGTGAAATGTTACCCCTCAGCCTTCGATGCTCCAGGGAAAATAGCCCCAGCCTATTCAGCCTCTCCCCATAGATCAGATCCTCCAACTCTGGCAGCATCCTTGTAAATCTTTTCTGAACCTTTTCAAGTTTCATAACATCTTTCCCATAGTAAGGAGACCAGAATTCAATGCTCTACTCCAAAAGTGGCCGAACTAACGTTCGCAACATGACCTCCCAACTCCTATACTCCATACTGTGACAAACACTGCCTTCACTATCCTGTCTACCTGCAACTTCATTTTAAAGGAACTATGAACCTGTACCCCAAGGTCTTTTTGTTTGCATTCATAGGGTGGATAGTCAGAGTCCCTTTCGCTGGGTGGAGATGTCAAATACCAGGGGGCAGTGGTTTCAGGTGAGAGGGGGAAAGCTGGAAGGTCTTGTGTGAAACAACCTATTTTTACACAGGGTGGTAGGTGCCTGGAGCACGCTGCCAGGGAAGGTGGTAGAAGCAGATACAATGGTAATGGTTAAGAGGCATTTAGACAGACATGTGAAAAGATAGGGAA